TAGTCGGTCACTCCCGACTAGGGCACTCCAACTTCTTTTATGAATTGCAAATCTAAGCAACATCGACAAAAAAATATCTATTGACTCTCACGTTATAAGAACAACAACAGGAAGAAGAGGAAAAGGAAGAGGGGGTGACCGAGGAAGAGATAAAATGCTCGTTTCTCAAGTGCCAAGCCAATAAATGTTCCTCTTTTTGCGCTTCGTTTAGTTAGCATTGAAAGCGAAATTTCATGCCAAAATAAAAAAAAAAACAAATTAAATAAATAGCATAAAAATTCCATTTCACTGTGTCTTATCAGTCCAAACTGTTTATTTGTATTTGTATTTGTTTTTTGCTTTGACTTTTTCCCCTTGCGATCATTTCGCACAGAATTCCATTAGTTGAAGAGCTTTACAGTTAATTCATAAACTTGTCGCTTATCAAGAATTTGCAATTTGTTTCGGTCATATGAATGAGAATGAGAATGAGACTCGGAATGAGATATAATTTCTTCATCGTTTTTGTTGTTTTTGCTTTATTGGCATGCCATTTGGCAACCCTTTGCCTACCCCATTATATTTTGTATTGCAACACACACGCACACGCACACAGCCACAGACACTCACACGCACACGCACAAATATTCAGTTGAGTATCTGACGGATACATTTCGGGCTAAAAAATGATTCTAATGCAAAAAGCCGGTTCGCAGACATGCGTAAAAGCTACGTTTGCTTACGTCTCTGTGTATGTGTATTCGACTGTATGTGTGTGAGTGTGTGCTCACGCTACCCTCCGGCCGGCGCGATCCGCCATATTTATAATACCCTGTGCATATTGGAAGCTCTTTAAGTAGGGTATATTAGTTTACAATGCAAACTAATGTAAAATATTATGAGTATGGTGTATAAAAATCTATCGATAACTAATCATATCGATTGCAATAAGTTTTATTATTATATTACAATAACTTATACAGGGTAACTACTAGTCGCATTCGCCGTTCAATATTATTGTTGTTCTTAACGTGCTCGTTAGTTAGTTTGTTTTTGTTACGTTTAACGTTCTTGAAAGTTCTTTTCGATGTATTTGCGTTTATCCATGATACTATATAAACATAAATAAGATATCTGTATATAACAATATGTGTGTATTTATAACTGCTATCCGTACTCGATATTTTGTTTATTTTCGTGATATAATATATAAATATATATGTACATATGCAGACATATAAACAAATTGTTATTTCTATTGACCTTGGATAACAATTTTGCTCATGTATTGCTTATATATTTACCTATTTATACAAATATATTTATATCTAATTTGATCGGTCTATATGTGGCTTACACATACAGACAGACAGCGGGTTTATATGTTTAGTTCTTTGTTCTAATTGCCAATTCTGACTAAATGGTGTGAGCTGTAGTCCCCGTCATACTCTTGATTCATAGTGTTTGTGTATTTTATTTTGTGCTCTGTGGTCAGGTTTTTTTCATTATTTATTTTTTTGAGAATTGTGAAATTGCTGAGTTGTTCTTTATTTTCTATTTTTTTGTCGCTTAGTAACGGCGCACAAAACTGTTTTGTCACATTGAGAGACTTCCCCTTTCAAGATCTAATGATGTACAAAATGAAGTCGTGTACGAGCTTGTTTATAGCGAAATCTGAAACAAGCTGTAATCATGATACGTACATACATAATAATAGCCCGTCTACATTATATACAGTCATAACTTATTCGAATATTCCCAAATATT